CACGAAAGGTCAGTGATGACGTCAGAGTCCAGGGACGGCCTCCTCCATGATTTTGCGGCCCATCGCCGGCGCCTGATTCGTTGCAGCTCTTTATATTTTGCACTCTGTGCTCCCTGACCATAATCCCAATATAAATACACTAGTACACTTCTGTCATAAAATTGTGTTTGGTATATCGCCCACTGCTCATAAGTCTGTCTACTGTACCATGTGCTGCAGGCAGCTACAAAAGGAATCATTTTTGCTGACTCGTACAAAAACTTGAAAACAAACTTATTCTAGGATTCCTTTTGATGTAGTTTACTATGAACTGTAGTTTTTCATGAGTTTTTTTTTTTTTTTTTTTTTTTTTTTTTCATTTTTCATTTTTCATGCTGTGCTCTTCTTCCATTACCCCTGGGCCCTCTAGGCCTTGGCCCAAGACTCTACTTCCTTTTTCTTGTATTATGACTGACTGCAAAGGAGTGTGTGCGCCCATCTGCCATGCATGGCCTTATTGTTTGGCCCCGACCCTCGACTGTGCTGTATGTAGCTTTTCAGCCTGTTCCTTGTTGTCTTGCCAGCCATCTTATACTCTGTTCCAGCTCTTTCTCGACATTTATTTTCCTTTCCTTTGCAAACAAGTGTTTGCTTTACACGCAGGTTGTCTGATTGCGCCTTGGATAGGCAGGGTTCTTTGAAACTCAATCCATTTCCTCTGTTATCCCTGGCTTTGTGTATAAAGATTGATGCCATATTCCTGAGCTATAGTTTTGTTATTATTGTTATCATTAATGTAATATCAACTGACCCACATCTGGAGGATAAACAGGCAACCTCTGCCCATTTTGACAGCACAGTAAGTAAGTAAGCCTGCTATGAAACATTGATCGGGTACCTAGAGATAGCTGGCGGTCTTAAAATTTGGTCCAGGCAATAAGACTTACAGGTTTGAATTGGTTTCTGTAAGTGTCCAGATGATGTGGACTTGTCATTATTTATTCTGAAGGGGTAGCTCTAAAAGAAGGGCAGTCTGGGAGGCAGCCAGCCCCTCCTCAAGAGGTACCATAAGCACAACCTCCCCTATTCCACAGTGCTTGTTTTAGGAAAGGCGTTTTACATGTGGCCCACATCTGCATCCAGAGCATGAAACTGCCTCTCTGACACCCATGTACACAAGAACAAACGTCAGTGTCAGTGTTTTATGTTTGCAAATTGTTGACGATAAATCATCTGATGTGCAGTTATTTTCCTTGGTGATAAAAGCATTTTAAAATAAGGCTATAGTCCTGTCTGTCATGACAGAAGGAAGATGAATGTGCTTTCAACAGCTACGATGTAAAAATGTGGATTATGCACATTATTGTGTTCGGCATAATGTGTAAGGAGTAGCTTTGCCAGATGTTCTTAATTGGGTTTTCTACTCATCTGAGTAGAAATCTCACAAGACCAAAAACTCAAGTTTCTTAATTTTCTCTCAAACAAAGGAGCCTTTTCTCTCGGAAAGCCTCATTTATTTGTGTTGGACAGAAAAAAGAGAGAGTATTTGATCTGTTAAAGCCTTCTACAGTTAACCTGGTACAACACATTGGCCCAGTCTGAGTTGTTGACATTGTGTAGCTGCTTTAACTTCAGCACTCTCCGATGTGCACCACTAAGGCTCACATTACAGATTATGCCAGCATACCATAAGCATTCATGTGAAGGTAACCATTTCTTTGACAGTATTAGGTCACACTCCTCACACCTCAATAGAACAGTCCAAGAACCTTTTTACCATATTTCTTTATATTTTGAGAGGTCTGGATGGAAACACTGGACCACCCTTTGAAGGCAATCCTTTTCAGTGAGGTTTAATTGTTTCATGGTGGGATGATTCGCCTTTTGAGGAAGAACTATACAGGCATCTATTCTTTGCCCCCGATTGGTATACGTTAAGCGTCAATTTAAATATCTGGAATTCCACTAGAATTCACCAACTAAGTGGACTTGAGCATTAATTTGCTTTGCATGCTATAAGATTTTCAATTTCAGTCAAGTAGTTGGGTGGGTTGGTCACAGGAGAGCCAGTTAGTAATGAATGGTTATTATAAATCAAATGTCCAAGATTTGTCAGAGGTTTGTTTTAAAAGCACAGAGGCCTAAAATAACTCAATAATTATATGAGTCACCTTGCCACTCAGGAAAAGCTTATTTCTTCTCCACCAAAGTACCCACTCCATCTTTGCAAAAACACATTCACAGTGTACATGTAATATTTTTGGATCATGAGGGGAAAAAAACCCACTCCCTGTCAAATTTTATGTTTTGTTCATCTGCCAAAGTAAAGGTTTGACAAGAAGGAACACAGTCATTACCACTGGCAACCATAACTTTTCACCTCGGTGCTGACGGCTCCCCTGACTGCATCACTGTTATCTGATTCCCATCCAACCATAGTAGGATAGGCGGCACAGACATAGCACATAAACAAACAGGTGAGCAAGTGAAAAAATACAATTAAACCCATATATACAGCACATGCACACACACACACACACACACACACACACACAGCACAAAAAAAAATGCAGAAGCACATACAAACTGTCTGCTTCTCTCTCTTTCCCTCTCCTCAGGTGTATATAGTCTCTTTGACACAGTCTGCCAGTCTGCTGCCATGCAGCGCCACATTTAGCTCTGCAAGAAGCGCCAGACTGCAGCTGAGCAGAGCACAGTGAGGAGGTTATTAATGGCCTTCCTTATTTTAAACGACAGTCTGAAAACACTGGTGGCACCATGCAGAGCCTGCTAGCTGCAAGCTTGTCTTTCATCCCATCTGTCTTCACGGCCCTCAGTCTCCTTGGTCCTAATGGGCCTATAGCTGTCGCTCTGTCAGTTTGCCCCTAATGCACCCTTGTCTGTCTGGTGGGTCGCATATGAAGGCACACAACAATCTATCATCAACTGATGTGTGCGCCTCTTCCTTAATTATTTGAAGTCGTGCAGTTTTTTCTTAACTAACAGTGTCCAACTATGTTATTAAAGTGCTCCTGGAAAACTGGTGTTTATAGACTCAAAGTTAGGAAAAGATGAGAAATTCTGCAGATGGTATCCCAATGTCATATACTTGAAGTTGTCAGAGAATCAAAACTTCATGCTGTGTTTTTTCTTGCCTTCAGGTTATCTCTCTGCCTTTTTCCTCTGTCCCCCACTTTCTCCCTTTCACTATCCTCCTCGTCCTCTTTCCTTTCATTCTTCAGAGCCCCTGAACGTCACCACACCCCGCTGTGAATTTTGACACCTGTCTGATGTATGCCTCTCTTTTCTCTCACAGGACCTGGTTGCACATGGACGGCCTATCAATCACTCCGCGGCCCCTTCTCCGGCAGAGCTCAGCCAATCACAAGTGCTTGGGTTAAATCTAACATGATGTGTCAGAGCACGAATGAGTGCGTGCATTGATGTGTTAGCATGCATATGCACATGTACGCATTTGTGTGTGTTTTCGGGGAGCTGTTTGGTCTGAATGAGGTAATAGAAGTTGTCGGCCTCCTGCAGACACAGACACACACACACACAGTTATCTACCTTTTCTTTACGGTTTATGACCAATAAGTTGTTTTCCACATGTTGTGAGGGTCAGTGTGCATGTAGCATGTTGTCTCCCACATGTGCAATTAAGTCTTCTGTTGCGGATAGATATGTGTTTTCTTTTCCCACACACGTACACCTGTAAAACCCATTGAAAATTCATTTGACAACATAGCATAATGTGTCACATTGGTGTCGCCGGACCAGTAGTTGTATATTCAACCCATCATGTAAGATTTAGTAGCGCTTGTCTGGGGAATAACAAAGACTGGCAGCTGAAGTCACAACCTATTGCAGCCCTCCAGACATCATAACACTGTCGGCCATAGATATGCTGGAACCCATTACGGATTGGTCATTTCGCTCCATTGCTGCTCAGAAGCAAATGAGGAGTGACGACTCCGCTCCCTGGTGACGAACTCTAGGAGGAAAGCTGGGACATTTAAAATCAAACGCTTCCGCTCTCCGAGGTTTGAATGAATAACCGGTATGGTTATTTGGGAGGGGGGCACCACATCCTGAGAGACTTTCACATCAGTAGTGTAGGCTTCTTCCTCAAGTGGAGCAATGGATCTGGAAGTCTGGGGGATTGGGTTCAGTCTTCATCCAACCCACAAAACCTACCACTTCAGTGACTCCCTGAGGTACTTTGATCTTTGCTGTTTTGGCTTTGCATGCTTATCCACTGGGTTAGAGCAAATGTGAAATGACTCATTGCCAATGAAGTTTTAGAGCAAATTGTCAGCTTTAATATGCGGGTATTATGACCCATATCAGATGAACTGTTCAAGGACCACTGACAGCCGTCTGTGAACATGGTTTCCTAGTTTTAGAGAGATAATATTTGATCATTTTAGGATATGTTATGTACAGCTTTTTCATTTGTAGACTATTCAGGGAACATTTCCTGTCAAAGTCTGCAACTTCAATATACTCATCCCAGATTTATCTCTGACTATGCTTGAGGTGAAATGAATCTGAGGCAGTGTGGTGTTTGGAGCTGGGATAAATCAGCACAAGCCAACATGCGTCTGAGCTACTTACAGAAATCTTCAAGAATAGGAATACAGCACCACCCTATCACCACAGCCACCACAGATTTACAGCAGGAAATCCAATACTAACATCAGGAGACCTTTGTCAATTTCTCCAAATTTGGAGCAATGGCTCCAAGTGTGTTCACAGTGCATTTACTGTACTGTAGCACTATTAATGTTTGAGTTTTAAAAGCATTTTGAATTCCGAAGAATTAGATATTGAATATGATAATAAAACACAATAATAATATATTCAGTTATACGCAGTTACAGTGTATAGTAGTCAAATTAATAGCATATAGTAGTGTATACAGATGACATGTAAAAATGCCTTTGCAAAAGCATATGAGAAATATCACACTGACTTTGAGCAAGAGACAGCTGTGGTGTTTGTAATATTTTATTGCAAAAGGGACTTTTCCTAACAACTTGAGGTAGGAAAATACATATAACGCTTAGAGAAACAATGAAAAAAGTACAATTAATTGCTCATTATACTGATTGCAGCTTGAAAGAAAGCTGAGAGCTGGTAAAAAATATGAACAATTATATCTGTTGATTTAAAATCCCTGTATGAAATAAAACTGTTGTATAGTATTGTTTATCATGTCCATAAAGGGAAATTAATATATATATGACCTGAAAACATCTTTGGGGTTGCGACATCCAGTAAAATGTGATGCATGATGAAGTCGGGCACATAGGTTTTGTTGAAAGAATGAGTGTACTTCCCGACCTGCAGGGAGTTTTAACTGAACCATATTATCTTGAAAAATAACCAAACAAACAAAACCCATCACACTGGCAATTACAATAACAATACAAAAAATATATAGCAGCATCCTTTATAAATCATATTGATATAAAGCATAATCATATAAAAATAAATGCTTAACAATTTGTTCCCCACTCATTACAAAAGTACAAAATATGACAAGAAACCTCTCCAGAGCACCACTAAAATGTGCCAGACTTAATACAATAAAAATGATATTCATCCTTAAGTGCCATTATATTGTTATATCATGGAAGTTTTATTATCAGTATTCATACACAGCTATTTGTTAGAAAGGCAAGGCAATGGCACGAAGACAAAACAAGTGTAATACTATTAACAAATATGTACAACAAAATATTCAGAGATATTTACAGTACAGAAAATTTCCCGTTAAAGATGACAAAATGAAACCTCCATGCGAGTGAGACAGACAGTTGCTCATTGTGTATGTGTTACGTTTTTGTTGCTGGGTTTTATGCTGTCATGGAGACGACCTCTAACCCCTGAAGTGTAGCAAAGCCAGAAACATTTCAGTCATTGAGTTTGACAACAGGACTTGATTACCGCCTATTCAACAGCCCAAGTGCGCTTTCTGTTTGGTGAAGCCGCCCCTCTGGGGCACTCAAATCACAGCGAACACCCGGAACGCCTTCCCTCCAGGAGGGTTTTGAAGGCTGCAGGGGAGAGAGAAACAAAAGGGAGAGTCAGTCTATGTGCAGCATGAGTCAGATAGAACATGTCCCAGCCTTTTGCAGAGAGACATGGATGACATACACACACAAACAGATAGACTTCAGGTCTTATGAAGAAATGTCCAAGTCAGTGTGTTGTCTGACACTCTGTTGACAGATAGGACACAAACAGATAGAGCTTGAAGCTCCCTGAGAAAACAGATAAACCACCCATTTTTACACAAACACATGGGACTTCATGTGTTAATCCAACAAAGACGGACATGTTGTGAAGTTAAAGGAGACAGATAAATGATGGGCAGATACTAACAGACGTCAGGCATCTCAACATTGTGACAAAGATAAATGTGGTGAAGAGAGACAAGGCAAAAGAGGGAGAGGACAGAAAGAAAGAGGGAAAGGCATAGAATAAATAAGACCGTGAGTCTGTTTGTCCTCTTCCCCGGTTATGTTACAAACAACAGAACAATCCAATGTTGGTGCAGTTTAAAAAACTAGAACAGGCTATACAGTATGTGGGTCACTTCAGCTTTACACAGAGGCTGGTTCGGACCTGTAACCTTAATGCTGTTGTAAAGCAGTGCTGCATGGATTCAACACACACTCTCACTTTATTAGAATAAACAGAGTCTTACCTAAGCAATCACAAGCCCCTTTCTTTGTCAACAGTTAAATGTTCTTTTTCAGTCACCGAGGACTCATTATGTAGGAAGATGCTGGCAAACATCATCCTGACAGTGAGAAAAATAGGCCCTCTAGTCTTTGCCCCAATAATGTCAGTCGTCACTAAAATCTTGACTCATAAGTTTAATTCCATCCTGCCAGAAACAATTCACGCAGAACGAAGGGTTATTATATTATTATCATCAGAGAAAGGCATTAAACATTATTATTACGTCTCCTAATTCAAAAAGTCATACCTTCTCAGTCTTCTTGATGCAGAGGGGCTATATGACCTCCTAGAGAGGTAGCTTTTACGCTGTATAAATTTGAATTGGGTATTTAATTGCCTGGCTTAAGCTTCTTAACATTCCAATAGCCACCGTACAAACCAATGATGTCTCTCGTTTCCTACACCGTGTTAGTGGGTGGCGCCGAACAGGGTTGTCTACCTTCACCCCTCTTCAAAGTAGAAATGGAAAGAAGGCAGGGCGACGTAAGCAAAAACATGCCTCTATGCCAATAATACAGTGCTCTATTTTTTTGCTAATATGTGAAGGTGGTTACATATTTTATCTTTTTCATCGTGGTCAGATGCAGAAGATGCCTGTTTTCCACTATGGTTGACCAAGTCTCACTCTACAATTAAACACTCTGTACCTGACAATTTAGAGGTCTTTTTATGTTATAAGCAATGCCTTCTGTTAAAGCGTAATCCAATAATTTGCTCTTAACAAGGTTACAGTAACAATCTTTTTGAATTATATAAACCTGAACAGAGCTTGTGAGATGTAGAATGGTAGTGACAGAATGCCTTTTGAGAGAGAGAACAACTTTTATTACAATTTACTAATCTTCCACCTAAACCTAATTAGACAATGTTCAGACTTCCCATGCAAAAAGGGTGCCTCTATTCTGCATCACCTGAGTATCACTTCTATGTATTCTCCAGCATGTTTGGTGAGACAGTAGTATAGGAGACTAATTTAAATGCATGTAGGTTAAGGTTATACACCATATTGGTTGATCCACCCTTTTTGACTTACAACCAAAAACCAAACTCCTCCCAGAAATACATTAAGATGCACTCATCTTTTCCACACTAATTGCCAAGCAATTGATTATTTTAAATTAGAAACATAATAATCACCCTCCAATGTGCACTACATGAGATATGTAGCAATCTTCCTGAATCTTGAAAAGATAAGCTCCACCACATGGGAGGGCAGTCATTGATTTCTCATTCCTCCTCTCTGAGCCACAACAAATTTACCCCTTCACTTTCCAACTAAATTGTCAGACAGGATCCTAACTAGGACCAGTAATTTACCTAAGCAATTTATTCCATGACAGTACACTATACACCATCACCTATTTGTTCTATTTTATTGCAATTCTGTTGGTATAATAACTGTTGTTTCAACCAATATAAGGGTCCACTATCTTCAGTGCTGCAATAGGGGTGATTGGTTTTACTGTAAATGTACAATTATCCATGAAAATCACATATAGTAATTTGCACACACATACTAGCCACTTAGGTCAGCCTGGCTATTTGAAGATTAGGGCACGCCATACCTCTCTGAGAAAATGCCATTTTGGTATGAAGCAATGTAGTGTTTCCGCTTGTCCACCGGCATCACATCAATGTAACCACCCACATCATTCTTGATTACTCCAGCATGGACCGCTGCTCGGCATATACTGGACTTCTACAGAGGCATGCAAGAGAAAAAGGTAATGTAAGAAATGTTGATTCATTTCAGCCTCTAAAGACATGAAAAACACTGATGACCCTGGTAGTGAATCAGGTTTGAACCCTAAAGAGGGACTTACATCAGAGTATATTCTGGTACCAATTACTCTGGATATGTGAGGATTCTCTTCTAAACAGTGTTTCGGGCAATATAACCTAAAAAAAGAGAGCAGTTGAACATGGTTAAGGATTTGAACTTACATTACCTAACTTAAGAAAAAGACTGACATGAAGCCAGGATAGATAGATAGATAGATA